GATCCACAGTTGAATACGTTTGCATAGTCAATAAAACACAAGTAAACGTCTTTCTGGTATTCTCTGCTTTCAGTCAAGATCTATGTGTTTGAATTTCTGGCAGTTCCCTGTTGATGAACTCCCTTTGACTACAGCTTATAAAGTTTTAATGAAATACTGTCATACCGTTTGTTATGTAGTATTTATGGCTATTTTCTTGCTAAAATCATTGAGTTGTGTAGTTGTGGGAGAAACTGTACAGTCCACAAAGCCTAAACCATTTACTATCTGGTACTTAACAGAAACAGTTTGCCAATCCTGAACTAGAAGGTTGGAGGAAGTGAATTAGAAGATTCACTGTCTCCATATCTAGGGCTGTTAGAAATCCAATGGAAATGCTCTCAGGAAATGGGAAATTTGATGATAGGGAAAAGGAGAGAGAAACAGGTAGACTTAGAGCACTGGGTACCAGTAGCCAGGGTGGTTTCTGACCCAGGATTTTAAGGACACAAAAAGATGTAAGAGCAGGGAAAAAAGGGTTTTCAGTGAATCATCACCCTGCTACTTCCTTGGAACCTGAGGTGCACCTCTTCCCAAAAGTTTAAGACAAAGTGATGTGCTACTAGATTCACTTCTGTATCCTGAAATGCCCAAGGTAAGACTGGAGAGGAATATACCCTAATGAACTGGGTATTAGGGTATATAAAATCAGCAGTAAGAAGCAAACAGAAGGTGAGCACAGACTAAGCTTAAATTCCTGACAAGTAGGGTAAAAAATACAGATTAGAACAAAGCATTATTTATTTTAATTTCTCTTATAAAATACTCTATAATTGTTTTCTCATTTTAGGCAGTCTGTGCTGTTGTCTAGTTTCTAGTCCTATCAGTTACAATCCAGCATGCTTTTTGATTTCATGGCTACATACTAAGAAACAATGATCACTAAGACATGTAAGTAAGTCAGGGAATGAGTTGAATTCATCTTACCATGGACAACAATCTATTGATGGCAACTGCCCGCTGCTGGGCTTCTATATGAGGCATTTCATTCTGAATTACTTGGTCTGTGATGCCATGAGGGAACTGGTGACATAATTCTATAATTCTAGGGAAAAAAAGCATTAATGATATTATGCATGTTACTTATATCAAGAGGCAGTAGGGAAAATTAATAGCTGAACAGTTGAAAATGATCTTTGTCCCTCCTTTAGCAGAAAATTTGTGTTATTATGATGACTATAGGAGTCCTGGTGTGGTGCTGTAGAATAAGCACTGGACTGTTAAACTTGACGTTGGCAGTTTAAACCTACCAGCCACTCCACAGAAACCCTATACAAGTGACTCTAAGTTGGAATCGACTTGATGACATTAACATGATTCAAATCAAATCACAGAAGAAATCGAAAAACAAAAATGCTTTCTAAATATATTGTTATTGTTGTTTACAGGAAGTATTGTTTTCCCTCACTCAACTTTAAATTAGAACAAAAGTCAAATGTAAACACAGAAAGAAAATTAAAAGTCGAGGCTTCGATTTTCTCAGATGGAATGATTGACACAATTAAGTTTTAGTGGTTTGCCATTGGTCTGTGAGTAGAAGCCAACTCTAGACACCTGGTGGGACGCCATAACTGTGACCTACTTTGGAATAATCCTTACTAAACGAAAATGAGCCCACATCTTAAACTTGTGATAGGACCATCATAACGTGTTCATAACCGATGGAGAAACTTGGAGGATCTTAGAAAACTGTAAAAATTGGAAAACTGTAGTACACTGCCAGTGAATATAAAATTGGGAGAGACTTTTGGGTACCTCAATACTGCACTGTGGTAATTACAAACTGCACTCCAACACTGTTCAAACGTTCTATTGTGGGGAGGGGAGTTCCTTTAGTGACAAAACAAGTCCTAGTTCAGCGCATGTATCCACAAGGAATACAGCAAAACAGAAAAGGTCTCCTTTTTGGCACTGATTATGATCACAACTTCGCATACAGTATGAGGGCAAAGTCAGTATTGCAACTGTCAAACTCGTTTTGAACTTAAAGAATTCTTCCAACTAGGGCGTAAAAGGGAGAGTCCAGAAACCTGCAATCCCAGTCCCGCGCGCTCAAATTCCCTGGACTCGAACCTCACTGGGTTACCTGTTTTCTATTTCTACTGGATCCGCGTCAGGCGGCTGCACCTTCACCTTCACCTCAGCCATGAGAAGGCAGCCCTGGGCCCGTGCAGCAAAAATGCGCACGGAGTCACCGAAAAGGGAGCCGAAAAACCCTGGAGAACCGATAGAAGACCGCCCTCTATCTGGAGACAAGGGACCTTCTTTCTCTTGTCGCAGCCAGTCCTTCTGGGATGAATGCATGAGGCGGCCAAGCCATGCCTGCTCCACCACACTCTCCAGCGCCTCTACATTTTACAATGCTTGTTTTCCAGAATATTAATGCCTGTCGGACAAACGAGCCTAGTTACTTCGCTCTACGTTGAGCCATAACCTTTTAGCAATTTTCAACTTTTGTGAAGGCATATACTCGGACACCTAAGTTAGAGTCCCTGGAAAGGAGTTCGAGGTGGGTACCAAAGTCACTGCCGAGCAGTGGAGGTGGAGCTGGTTACTAAGAAGCCATGTTTCCGCCAATCACATGCCCTGCTCTCCATGGGCGGGGCGCGACTGGCAGCGTCTGTGGTAACCTGGGCCACAGCGCAGGAGCTAGAGAAGGTGAGAGATACTATGGGGCGTAGGGGTCCTTGTTGGATCCAGGTGGCACGAGAAGAGCTTTCACCCCCGCCTCCCAGTCGAAAATATGTGGGTGTACTTGGCTACAGCTGATGGGCGGGCGGAGAACACCGTACAGGGATACCTGATCTGGGCGGCGAGGGGCGGTCCAGACTGAGGGAGTTGGAAGGTGGGTGCAGTTGACTCTGCGCTGCCGCTTGGGCTTCTCTGGTTGGTGTTCCGCTGGCTCCCCTTTAGCGTGGGGTCTGCTGGCAGCCCCTACCTCCCAAGGGCAGCCACTATTACTGCGCGCGATGATTTTCTATTTTTATTTTGAACTAGTTTCGCAACCATTTTAACAGCCTCTTACTTGAATGGAAATATGGGAATGGGCTAGGCCCCCAAGTTCAACAACCATTCTGTAGGGGCTATTGCTTTGTTATCAGGATCTGCAGTTTAAATTTTTGACTTTTAACCTGGATGTTAAGAAGGCATTAAATTTACCCCTTAAATATAGTTGCTCCCCTTTGGGTGATAGTACTTGTGACAAAACTCAGACTATGAAGCAGTTTAGAGCAGCATTCTCAACACTTAACTAAATAGAAACTAGAAAATAGTTTAAATGCCTAACCACAAGTTGATAAATAAGATTATATAAGTATGAATACATGGAAAATGGAATAATCAAATAAGGGTGCAAGAAGTAGGCAAATTGAATAACTGTAGATTACAATCGAGTAAAACCAATGTATCCATAATGATTGAATTTTCAAAAAGCATTGCATCAGTGTATATGGTTGCTGTGGTATGGAGATTGGTTTCATCTTCTGCAGCCTTTTATGTTTAAAAAATTATGACACCCATTTCAGGAAAAAAATCAGTGAGGCATCTATTATTTGTAGCTAATTGGTGCTTCAGAATAATGCACTGGACGACAAGGTCAGTTTGAACCACAAGGTCGGCACTTCAAACCCACCAGCCGCTCCTTGGGAACCCTATACAGGGTCGCTATGGCTCAGAACCAATTTGACAGCACTTAACAACAACAATTTGTAAATACAGTAAATGGGAGATTTCTGTGTTTGTTGGTCACTGTTTATATCCATGCTAACTTCCTTTCGATTCAGTGATACTCTGCAGTCCTAAAATTTCTTTATAGCTTTGAAATGCAAGAACCACTGTGTTGACAAATGCAGGGTTGAAGACCTAGCTTTCCCAAAGGAATGGGTTCTAAATTAACGTATGCTACAAATAGTAATGCATCAAGTCTTCTATGGGCTTCTTTATTCATTGTGTTGGAGGAAAATATTGAAAGTTCCATAGACTACTAAAAGAACAAACAAATCTATGTTGGAAGAAGTACAGCCAGAATGCTCCTTAGAAGCCAGAATGGCCAGACTTCATCTCTTATACTTAGGACATATTATCAGGAAGGACCAGTCCTTAGAGAAAGACATGATGCTTAGTAGAGTGGAGGGTCATCAAAAAGAGGAAGACCCCCAACGAGATGAATTGTCACAGTGGCAGCAGCAATAGGCTCCAGTGTAACAATTGTGAGGTTGGACTGGACAGTGTTTTGTTCTATAGTACATAAGGTCGCTATGAGTCTACTGACTCGAGGACACCTAACAACAACAACAAACAGTAAACTTCTGTTCCTCTTCTGTGATCATGTGTCCTGAAGCCAAGAGAGTTTACACACCTAAAGAAAGAAGGAACAGGTGATGATGATCAGTAGGAACTGAGGTCAGATCGTTAGTGATGCTTAATTGCTTTAATTTACCCATCCCTTGGTCTCATTCTTCATATTCTTTTCCCAGGAATGAGGTGAGTGTTCAGATAATCAAAACTCCACTCAAGACTGCAACAGCAAAAATACAGCTGGAACATATAACTATTTTAATTAAAAATTAACTAATATTTTTTAGGAGAGACATGTGGCTAAGCCCTCAGCTACTAACCAAAGATTGGTGGTTCAAGTCTACCCAGAGACATCTCTGAATGATCCCCATATTTCCATTCAAGTAAGAGGCAGTTTTCTAGAAAGCCAGAAAAACCCTATGGAGCACAGTTCTACTCTGACACATATGGGATCGCCATGACTTGGAAACACTTGATGACAAGTAATTTAATATTTGTAGGTGATATAGTAACAGTATTCTCTCTTTCCTCTGCTTTTTTTTTTTTTTTTTTGGTTTTGCTGTACTTTGAATGAAGTACTTTTCTTCAGCTTTTGTGTTCAAATATATATAGACATTGGAATTTACTTTCATTCCCCTTTTTGTTTTAAATATAAGGAGAAAAAAATGACTGCTGGTTCAGTGTGTGTCCCTCAGATTATACCACTGCGAGTTCCTCACCCTGGAAAAGCCAAACATGAAATTGATAACGCTACACTTTTGGAAATGAAATCAGGTAGGAATCAAATGTATTTGAAATAACTTAAAATAACATTGTCAAACTCTTTATGCTCATCTGGTTGTTAATATGTTTCTTTGCATGCTTTCTCTAGTCAGGATCTTGGGAAGTATGTAAATCTCCCCAAATTTGGAACAGATATGTACTTTGATGATTTATAGAGTAATATACATTTAGATGAAAACAGTTGGCTTTGCCTAACCCTTTGTTTGGGATGCAACTAAGTTTCAACTCACTCTAGCTAAGGAAAGATATCTCAGCACATCCCCAGAGTTTCCCAGGACCCCATTATTTTTCTGTGATAATAAATTTGACTTGCTAACACTGGCCTACTTGTCAGTCATATTGGGGATTGAGTCCTGGCTTTGGCAATTCCTAGTAACCTCAGAAACATTACTTAGCCTTTCTCATTCTCAGTTTCCTCATTGTGAGATGTAGATAACGACATCTACCATTCATAGCCATTGTAAAGATTAAACCAGTTGAAATATTCAGTAGAAGCGCAAGGCCTAGCATGTAGTAATATCAAAATAAATTTAAAATATTTTTTTCAGAAATAAAGCAGTGGATGCATTTCTTGGTAATATTTATGGGCAGTCCCCAGATTATGAATGTCTGGTTTATGTACAACTTGTAGTTAGGAACCAGCCCTTGTAAAGCCTATTATAGTAAAAATTAAAGATACAGCCATACCTCAGAGATATTATGGGTTCAGTTCCAGACCTCCTCAGTAATGAGCATCAAGTGAATTTTTTTTGTCACCCAGTGCATATAAAGGAGTCCTGGCATGGGACTGTGGGTTAATGCACATGACTGCAAAGTTGGTTTGAAATACAAGGTCAGTGGTTCAAGTTCACCAGCCACTCCTCAGAACCCCTATAGGAGTCACTATGAGTCGATAGTGACTCAAGGACACGTCACAACAACAAAAAGTGAATATAAAAGTTATATTTACACTATCTGTAGTCTTTTAATTGTATAATAACATGAAAAGTTTAAAATACTGTGGAAATTACCAAAATGTAACACATAGGAAGTAAGCATATGTTGGTAGAAAAATTGAACCAACAGACTTTCTTGACAGAGGGTTGCCACAAACTTTCAATTAACAAGTTTTACAAAATTTTAATTTTATAAAAACCACAGTATTTGCAAAGTACAATAAAATAAGCATAATAAAGTGAGGTGTGCTTGTGCATACAACTGTTTGGAATAACAATCAGGCACTACTTTGTAATGTGCATCCAAACATTGCTATTTTTATTGTATTATCATGTTGAGGTTGTTTTAGTGTATGTGGAAGTGTTTCTTGAATGTTTGTAATGTGTAGAAAGGTAAACTATATACTAAGACACACATTTGATTGATACTGAATACAAACCTTATCTGACTCTTCTGACCTATGTACAAATTACTTGTATTCTTTATGCTCTCTCTACACCTATACATAGACAAACATATATAATTAATATAATAAGGGAAAACTTTATAGATAAAACATATGAATAAATACTCTTATTAAAATGACTTTTGAGATTCCAACAGTGTATTTTTAATAATGGATATGTATAAGAACTATTTATCTGTATTTATTTCATGAGTCTGGTGCTTCCCAGACCTATAGTTCCAATTAATAATACACTACATTATACAATGTCCCCCTTTATCTTTTTTTTTTTTTAACTTTTTGTGAATTAAGTGATAAGATCATAAGCTTTATATTCAACAAATTAGACACTTTGTTTCATCTCAGTGACTATAATCCCCTCCCTACAATGACTGGTATCTTACTTCCTCCCTGTGGCTTCCATTTACATCTTCTATTTCACAAATGAACAAAGCAAAAATACTTTATGTACACCTACAAAACAAAGATATATATTCATTTAAGTATCCGAAGGGCACATTCTGTGAGCCAGCCTCCTCTCTGCAGGCACACAGCCTGATTACTCAGTTTATGGGCCTAGAGTCTGCAGCTTCTCTGTTTTTCCATGCCACTGCCTCTGCCACCATTATTGGTGTTGCTGCTTTTCTAGGTAAGCATCTCACGCTCCACTCCTACTCTTCTTTCTTGATGGTTTTGGGATTGTCTGTTTCTGAAATGAAACATTTAACTACTCCCCCTTTTAGTTACACATCTCCTATAATTACACTTGTGACAATCACAATTAATCCTGCTAACAGTTACTCACAATTGAATTATAAAATCCTATCAGCATTATCCCCCATTCCCTTTCACCAGATACATCTGGAAAAGAGGGAGAATTATTCACTGGGGATTCTACTTTGCTCCCCTCATTCTGAAACTAAGCACACTCATGAAAATTTGTAAGCCAGCCACTTCATGCCTTTGTCGTGCCCCCCATTTTTGATGGTAATGTCTAAATTGCCTGTCCCTATCAATGTACTGGACTTCAAGATTGGTTTGAAATGCAAGGTTGTTGGTTCAAGCTCATCAGCTGCTCCTCAGAAACGCTATACAGGGTCACTATGAGTTAGAACCGACTCGACAGCATTTAAGAACAACAGCAACAATCAACTCAGTAAACTGAGGAAACAAACTTATTCCTAGATATGATTAATTCTTCCATTTTGAGCAACTGCATTCATAAACAAAAGTCCAGTTCATCAAATTGTAGCAATTTGGACTTGCTCACAGTATCAAGCATCTTTATCATCAACTAGTGGATTCTGGTCAGCTAACCATCCAAGCTAATTCACATTGTTGCTAGCTGCATATTTGGGTGTTCATGCACACCTCCTTGCACTTCAAAACAGTTGGCTGCTTCACTTTCAGCCCTATGACCCAGGGGATAGGTCAGTACCCATGGACTCACAAATTCATACCTCTTCCTAAATTTCAGACCAGTCAGCCCTTCCTCATCTCTCTCTAATCTCAATGTCATTGGTTGGTCAAACTCAGTCCATGTCTTCATTGCTGCATTTCCCCCACTTCCTCTCACAAGTAGACCCAGCCAGTTACCAGTGAGTATACTGGACTGCACCTGGGTTCCCATTAAGTTTCAGTCCTAGAAAGGGGTTTTCCCTGATGGGTTGCCTTTTCTTGCCTTGATGCGTTCAAAGCAAACCGCTTGCTTGAAATTCAAACAGACCAACAGTCTGCTTTTTTTCTGCAGGTCTTTCTTTTAATAATCTGTTCTTCCAGCAGTTCTGGGTTGGTCTGCATGTCTTTTCAAGTGTGAATGTCCCAAATCAGAAGGTTGTGGGTGGGGCTCAGGATTCCACCTAAGGCCCCATACTTTCCAAAGGCTTAACAAGAAGCCTGTTTCCCTGGGAAAATTCTTAATCCCCGTTTAGCAAATCAAATCAGTTATAGGCTGAAGCTGTGTCCCCCTTTATCTTAAAAGCTAGTATGATCTTTTTAAAATTTCAAGCTAAAATAAAAATTGAACATATGCACACATAACTTAGAAGAAGTTGAGTGGCTGTTAACAAATGGTGATAGGAGAAAACCCCAAACTAAACCCAAACCCATTGCTGTTGAATCAGTTCAGACTTACAGCACCCTGTAGGAAAAGTAGAACTCCTCACAGGGTTTCCAAGGCTATCCAGTTTTCCAAAATCAGATGGTTACATCTTTCTCTCACAGAATGGCCGGTGGGTTTGAACAATATTAATTTTAGCTAGTAGGTGAGCTTTTAAATCACTGGACCACTCACCTCCTTGATATGAATGTTGTTGTTGTGAAGTGCCATCAAGTTGGTTCCAACTCATAGTGACTGTGTCTAGGGCTTCTGAGGAGCAGAATGATAGGGTATCTAAATTTTCTAACATGTAAAAGATCTACTAAATAAAAATATTCTATAGTTCAGTAACAAAAAGAATAATGACCTAATAGAAAAATGGGCAAAGTGTATAAAAGAACATTTTGTAGGAAAGAACATATAAATAAATGTCTTGTAAACATTCAAAGGAGTACTGGTGTGGTGCTGAGGATCAGCACTGGACTGCTAATCACAGGGTATGTGGTTTAAACCCACCAGCTTCTAGAAAACCATATACAATGTCATTATGAGTGGGAACTGACTCCACGACATTTAAAAGCAATAGCAAGAAGCATATAAAAAGATATTTTTACCCAACTCTTCATCTGGTTTCTAAGTTTACCTTATCCTCCTTACCCTCCTTTTATTTCCTTCATAGCATTTATTCACCACCAGACAATATGCATTTACTTGTTTGTTTATTGCTGTGCATATCTCCTAAATGTAACCTCCATGTGAGTAGGGACTTCAGCCACTGATATATCCCTAGTCTCTAGAACAGTGTCTGGCACATAATAAGCACTCTGTGTATTTGTTAAATGAATGAAAGAATTTTAATGAAAATACAGGATTCTGAATTAAAACTATGAGGTACTGTTTTGTTGTTGTTTTCCTAGCAGATGGGCATAAAGAAAAAAAAATAGATAACACTATTTGGGTGGATTATGGGTAAACAGGCACTTCAATGCATTTGTGACAAGAGTGCAAGTTTTCTCATCAGTGGAGGACAGTTGGCAATATTAATCCAACATACAAATGCACATACCTTTTGTTTCAGCAGTACTACTTCTGCATATTTATTTTACAACTACTCTTAGCAAAAGAACTCTTTACAATGTCAAAATAAAGAAAAATGATGAAAACAAAAGAAAATTTAAGTGGAGGATAATTTATGATTCATTCATACAAGAGAATACAGTGCAGCCATATAAAAAGAAAGTATAAACTTTTTTATGTGTCGGTATAGAAAAGTATCCCAGGTATATTCTAAACCAAAAAAAGAAATCTGTGGAACAAGGTGTGTGTCTTAGGCTGGGTTCTCTAGAGAAGGAAAACCAGTGACGCTTATATCAAGGAAGTGGCTCACATGGTTGTAGAGTTGGGTAGGTAAGATGCCAGACTGCTGATGACTCCCAGGATTGGCAGGCAATGGAACAGGCCACTGGATCAAGTGCAAAGACCTGGAGGCTGAATGAAGAGCCATCTGTAGGA